ATATATATAAAAGGGCATAATCTGCTGTAACTAGCCTGGACTGACAGAGGCCGTGTATATATTGTACATTTAAATAAGAAATAAGTGTGTATTGTAAATATGTGTAAATACAGACAATGGACTTATTAATACAGACTGACTAACAAATTACAGACCCGACCTCTCGTCAGAGAGGGCGCTACACATGGACAGGACAGTAACTTTCATTCAAAAGAAATATCTGGTCATGAGCCCTAGCTGGGGCTCGACACCAAGACAGACTGACTGACCGTCAGTTGTAACATGACCTTGCCTTGCAATTGCTCGTGAACTTGGCGGAGGTCAGGCATACGACCGTTCAAGTGACTAGACTGCCGTGGTAGCGAATAATACTGGAAATAGGGCGTAATCTGCTGTACTGAGCCTGGACTGACAGAGGCCTTGTATATATTGTACATAAAAGTAAGAAATAAGTGTGTGTTGTAAATTTATGTAAATACAGACAGTGGACATATTAATACAGACTGACTGACAAATGACAGACCCGACCTCTCGTCAGAGAGGGCGCCCCACATAGACAAGACAGTAACTTTCATTCAAAAAGAAATATCTGGCCATGAGCCCCAGCTGGGCCTCGACGCCAAGATAGACAGACTGACTGACCGTCAGTTGTAACATGACTTTGACTTTGACTTTGACCTTGACTTTCAATTGCTCGCAATCATCAGTGATCACATTCAGTTGAGAGCGATTAGTCATCAGAGTCATCAGCTCTTCCATGCGCCAAAGACAACTTCTGCAACTCTCCAGCAACCACGATCTGTGACCAGGCAGCTAACATAGTTGCCGCAACTCTCCAGCAACCTCGCTCTGCGACCAGGCAGCTAACGCAGTTGCCGAAACTCTCCAGCAACCGCGCCGTAGGCAGCTGTTCCTATCGGCGCATGCAACACCACATTACTGGCCGGAAAAACCAGCTGAACGGCCGTAAAGACTCGATCTACTACAAAGGAGCAAATTCTACCAGCGCACTCGCGGTGGAACAAACTGCCCTTTTCAGGGCCAGCCAACTTTTTACATTCCACATAGCTTCGCAGCTATTCTGTACATTCAATTTATACAATTTAATATATACAGTTGTTACAGATTTAAGTGGTTTTCTTTTAGAACATCGACAATCCCACATCACCATTGTTTTCCTAGTAGCCGGAAAGCTCTCTACAAATATTATGGAAGGCATCTGCCAATATAGACTATATTTTGTATCAACTTTAATTCAGTACATTTTCTCTCAAGCGAAAACCAAACAAGAAATGTCGAGATTTTTTGAGGAGGGTCCCTAATTAATGTGGCTCTTAAAATGAATTAAAACGACTGAAACTTATACATGGTAATTCTGATAACAATTAATTATTTCAGTAAAGTTTACGAGATTTTCGCCAACTTTCTCATACTGTCCTCATTTGGACATATTATATCATGGCTGTCCAATTGTCAATTTTATAATAGTACGTGCATTTTATTGTGCTCAGTGGTATAACAAGAAATTTTAAAGGAAGAGTGGAATGGGGATGATTTTGATTTTTAATGACCTTAGTTTTTGGACAAATTTTCAGATCATAAGCGACTGAATGACCAATTAGATGGTCTGTTGTTGGGCTCATAATTCACTCACCCACACTGGTTATTCATGACCTCCAATAGGTTAGGAGACACTTGAGAGAATATGTAATATGGGGCATAGGAAAATAATAATAACTAACTGGAAAGTAAAGAGGAAATTGGAATCTTGTTTCTATAACATGTATCTTCAGAACTTTGTATAAATTATTAATTAATTGCTTGACATACTAACTCACTCATTCACTTCTTGAGAAGCTGCCAATTCTGCAGCTACTCAAGAACTTCCTAGCATTTTGTATCACACCCAAAGCTTCATTATCATGATTGCAGAGCTATTCACTGGTCCCCATCCTGAGCCAAATTAATCCAATCCATACCATCCTGTCCTATCTCTCTAAAATACATTTGCTTGACATACTCCCATTTTAATTATAGTTCTGTTATTTACCAGCAATGCAGTATGTCATGCTATGACAAGGGGTAGCAGGTGCAATGGACATGACTACAATCATAGTCTTCTTGATAAAACTGCTTTGAAAGTCTGTACCCAAGGAGGGGACCAGCTTCCTTATCTTCAGTGAACTCTCTTCACTTGTGGTGCATTCCCAGCAGACTCATGGAGTAGTACATTATGCAGCATCTTCAGTTACCCGGGTGGCTACTGATTTTGAACTTTTTGCACATTTTATTCAAACCTGTCCTGGACTTCTGAGCAGAGACCACTATCTTTAAATCTAAGTGTAGGATGTAAGGCAAATGCTGAAAAAAAAATTGTATATGGAATCTTGTAATTCACCTCATAAAGTAGGTTATCAGAACATTAAAAAAACTCATTTATGAAGGATCTAGAATGTATCTAGATAGAACAAATCTCAGGTTATACTAAACTAAAGATAAATTTAAATTATTCTGTGATACCAAGATCAGTTCTTTGTAAAAACAGAACGGCTCTGCCAGAATCTTGAGAGGAAGGACTAAACGTGAAGTAAAACCACAGACAGAAAAAAACCATACTTACATAAAGAAACATTATGTTAACAATATCTCAGTCATTGACACATTTGGCACGTCATTATCCGGATACCTGCCTACCCCAGAAAAACAATACGTAACCTTCTAGCTAAACAATATAAACATGATGAAAGATAAGATATGTACAAAGTACTGTAACATTGAAAATGCCGTGGCTAAAAATACTATAGTTTCATTGTCATTTTTCATTTACAGATGATTTTATCATGAGTATGGGAATGTGTATGGATCAGTAGCCACCAACAGAATTTATGCAGAAGAGGAATAAGAGCAGGATTTTTAAATTATTTCATCATTGGTGTGTCCTGAAAAAAGTGACGGGGTTATGTACATGGTAGTAATGTTCGCCATTTTGTTGGCTGAACTACGGATGTCGAACGTAGTAGTAGTTCTCCTTACAGAAGATGGCAGAACAGTAGGCATCATCGATTATCATGCAGATTCCTTCTGTAATCTGTGCCAGTCACTCACCAGGTGTTAGCTGTCTTTGGTCATAGGTTCTTCATTCTGTGATTCCGTGTTAGTTGTGTTTGTACCGGTGTTCTCACATTTCCGATTTGAAAATGTTGATTAAAGTTAAGGCAGGTATTGTATAACTGGGTTTAAGGTAATAGTAATAAATGTGTTTATTTGTTCAATAGTGTTAAATTAATCTTTTCCTTATTTTCATGTTGCCAAGAGCAGACGTTGACAGGGAAAGAGGTAAGTCTGCTTTGACAATCTAGATGTTAGTTCCTTTGCGCATTGAAATTATATTATAAAGTACATACATTACTCATGTTTTTAGTTGGGAACAATCTATAGTATTAACCTCTCAGTATATATGTATAATGTAAGTAAATGTATCATAAGGCGTGACGTATATGTTTTTGTAAGCAAGTAGAAATTATACGAAAGACCCACATGCCTAGGATGGGTGGTTACCACCCCTGCATCATGGCCAAAACTGCTGACCGAATTCTGTTTCTGTTGGCATTTTTAAATCCGTCATTCACAGCCATTTAACGTACATAACCTATGCAATTCAAAAGGGGTTGTGTGACCCAAGTATCAGTATTCGTCGTCACATGTGTCGTAAAAAGAAAGGGATGTGTTTTGTCTGTGTGTGATGTGCCAAACCGTTAAGCCATCAATTTGAAACAAGTTTATCCCAGTTTTATAAACTATTTTTATCTGAAAAAGAATTGTGCATATTGTTATTTTCATGGTTTCCCCCCCCCCAGAAAGTAACATATCTTTCTTATGAATGCCTCATTCGCTTCGATTTTCCTCAAAAACTGTAAAGTACAGACAGCATTCCATGCAGTAGGGTAATGTCACATGGTGTTATAGGAAGTGAAACACAACCACAGTTCTGCCAGAATTGAAAACTTTCCACTTAAATGGGTTAGAATGTTTGTGTTATTTTGCGTAATCCATGGTAAAATCTGAAATTATGTTTTAATTTGTGACAGTTATCTATCATAACAGAGAAAAATGTTATTTTTACTCACTGTTAGGGGTTTTTTGTACTGAAGTTTGCCAGTCCTTGGATTCAGTAGCTACTTGTTTTCAGGATTATGATATAATGAATCTGAAAAATTGAACTGGTTGTATGGAAAGTCCTGTGTCAGTACTGCCGGAGTGCATATTAAACATGGTTTGTAGCTTCTGGTCATCATCATCATCATCATCATCGTCGTCCTCCACCTTCAAGATGCAATTAGGCAGTAGTGGATTACTGATTCCAGCAAACCATCCTTGTTAATTGTTCTACTGCGGTATAAAAATCTCAATTATTTTGTCATTTGTGAATGAATGGAAGAATTTGAATTATTTATGATTTCCTTGTAATAAACATTGCTTTATAAGTTGTTTGTGAGTAGTTTCCATTGAGATTTTTACAGCTCGAAGAGTAATTTACTGAAGACATTTGATTCATTAAAACCAAAATAATTCTGATTTACCTAACCCCTTATTTTACCAGTGAGTTGGGATCTTTGTATCTGGTTATCCTTTCTTCCAATCTACAAGCTGGGGAAGGGAGACAGTGAAGCTAAGGTCCTGTGATCAGTAATGTGGAGTCAGAGTACTGCATTGTTCATCATGAAAACATTTCTGTTGCATGGAATAATGAATTAGTTAATGTACATATTTATTGTTTTATATATCATTTGTGTATTTAATGACTAAACAAATCAGAATTACCACAGCCATTTTAAGAACTGGAGTACAGTGGGTTCATTATTTGTTTAGAATGAATAGTATCATCAATACATCAGACAAAATATATCCTCTCTTTCTTTCATACTTGCATGATTTTTAGATCGTAAGTATACCATCTATAATGCAACAGTAACCTTATATAAGAGACACTAAAATATGTTTAATACACTAAAAGTGCTTGTTAAATACTTTAAAATGTCATTAAACTTATACATTCGTTCCTTGTTGCAACATGTTTCGGCCACACATGGACCATCATCAAGCAACTTTTATTTTATTGGGGAGACCTTTTATATAAGGTTATTTTGCATTATACACGGTATACTTACGATCTAGAAATTATGCCACAGTGCAACAGGATGCTGAAATATAATATACTCATATGATGTCTTCACATATTTAGCATACCTCACAAGGCTGTAGGTAAAATAACTGAACAGTAATATTATGAGTAGTTATTAAAGCAGCCAATTTTAGTTGACCTAAATTGTCACACATTCAATGCCTTCAATTTTTTCCCTTCCTGTCCTCCCATTTTAAAAATATGTTGTTTGTATATTGCATATTCAGCATGTGGGACCTGTATATGATTTTTTATCATGTTAAACTGGCTGAATCATCATACCAGCTGAAATTTTCCCCATTCCCAGTTTATACAATATGTACTCATTCCATTATGTATGCCAGATTTGATGATTGTGTTATATTGATTTATGCAAATGTGTGAAATTGTGTGTTTGCAAGGAACATGAAGTTCACTATCTTCTGGGATGTGTAGCCACCTGGTCTGGTAGATTGTTACCAACTTTTCAGATGAATACGCTACCTCCATCTTCACTCTTCACAACTCTGGAATGTCAGTAACAATCTACAAGAATATACAGCCTCACATCGTTGTAATGGTCATTGCTGTGAGAACCTCAAATCATACATTTCCTCATTTTTGTCTTAGCTCTCGCAGATGGTTTGTGCTGTGCTTGACTTGTATACCCCATCTTGTGTTGGTACAGGTGTCTGGAGACAGGGACTAGCTCTTATCGACTGGGCCCAACTGAGTATGTTCTACCTGAAGACAGAGACAGAACTCAATCTCCGAAACATTGTGTTTTTAAATAAAAATGGGACAGTGGATAATGACCAGAAACATAATACAGTAAAACTTGGTTATAGCAACATCGGTTTCTGCGACACCTTGTCTATTGCGTCAAATATTCAATGGTACGAACTAATTCCTCATAAAGCAACTGTTTTTATACCTTGCTTAGTACGACATGCACAAATGCATCAACCTCGTATGTAACGTCATTTTCATTCCTGAATTTCTCTGATATCATGGGAAAGTTCGATGTGTCTGCCCACCCTCACTTTCTCTACTTGCTGACGTGACTGTCCTGGAAGAATACGACCGCGGGCTGCAAGAGGAGCGTGGGTTTTATGCGAAAACAAGGGTGTGGGGTGGGACTGCGTGAATAGTGCAAGAGGATGCGGCAGGTTGTTAACTGCATTCCTTTCCTAGAATCTCGTCTAACAGGACCTCACATTGTCTACTTACCCTATAGTGTTCCTGCCTAAACCCAGAGAAGTGCAGTAGCGAAAACATGGCAATGAAAAGGAAAGTTTTAAACACTGAAGAGAAAGTTAAAGTGATTCGTGAAATATTGTGTGTATTGTCAGTGAAAGGCGCTGTAATATGTCTTTAATATTACACATTTTGGCAATTCCACGTTAATGTTACGTTAGTCTGTACTTAACTACGTATTTCACTAAAAATGCAACATTTTAACTCGGTTTTTGGTAGATGTTTACGTGACTAACATAAGGCTACTGTGGAAGTGCCCATTTCGGTTACAACGACATTCGTTTATAACGACACTATTTTTAGGTCCCTTTGATGTCGTTATAACCAAGTTCTATTTTATTTGTATTAATGTACCATCATCACGAACTTCTAGCTATTAATTATATTTCCTATTTCTATCTTTGTTAGTTTTTTTATTATTGCTAGTGGGGTGGGACTAAGTCCCTTGTACTGCAACCACTTCTGGCCTATTGTACCAGCCCCAGATGATAGGTGAGGGTGATTGTGGAGCAATTGGTGAAATGAAGATTGGCAGGAGAAACTGAAGTACTTGGAGAAAACCTGCCCCAGGGACACTTTGTTCACCACAAATCCCACTTGACCAGACCCCGTGATCGAACCCTGGCCACCACGGTGGGAAGCCAGCAACTAACTGCTTGAGCTATGGCATGGCCCTCTTTGTTAGTCACTCAAAACATTTAAGAGTTCACTGCAGGTGTCAAGCACTCCAGTTTCCTGTTATCGTTTTTATATTACTGTTACAATTAGAGAAACATTACTGTGAAATTGAGTAACGATTTTATCTTTTATATTTGGTTTATAATTCTGCAGATAGAAATTGATATCGAACCAACAGACAAAGTTGAACGCATCAAAGAAAGAGTTGAAGAAAAGGAGGGGATCCCACCCCAGCAGCAGCGCCTAATATTTTCTGGAAAACAAATGTGAGTACCTGTATTTTTCTGTGCAGATCTGTGCATTTGCTAGAATGCCATACCTGGAACACAAATATTTGGGGGTTTAAGTTGAGATCATGCGTTTAACATTTTCTGCAGTCAGATATTTAGGCATGGGGAGCTGTGTACTGGAGTCATCTGGCTCAGGATAGGGACTAGGGGTAAGCTGTTGTGAACATGGTAATGAACATTCACCTTCCACAAAAAGTTGGGAATTTGTTGACCAGATGAGTAACCGTTAGAATCTCAAGATGGTCTCTGCTTCATAGAGTTTGTTTCTTTCTCTAGTAGCCTGTTCATATGTCAGGTACTTCCGCCTGTTTTATTGTAACTCTGGTTTTAAAGCAACTGGAAATTATTCTTTCAGGAATGACGAGAAGACTGCTCAAGACTACAAAGTGCAAGGTGGCTCAGTGTTACATTTAGTGTTAGCTCTGAGAGGTGGAATTGGAACTGTATAATGACATTAAAAAACATTCTGTGTTTGTTACATTAACATTTATAATGATAATTGCTACAGTACATCCAACAACATTTTCTGTATGCTTGGCACCAATGATGTTTGTTCATTAATATACATTAGTTGCATTTACCAGTGTGCTTATTTCCTGTGTAGTCAATAACAGAAAAGTTTTCATCTTTTATATCTTGTACCCTCTCAGACTGTACGTCCCTTCCCTTCTTTTTACAAACCTTTTCATCCTTCTCTTCAATACATTTAGAATACAAAGCATAATGAAGAACTTTGGCTTGTGGGATATAATGCTGTGCTGTCCAGTGAAAGCCATAGCATTGGAGGAACATGTTGCATCCATCTTCACTGTCGAAGAGCCAGCGAGGCAACAAACCAACATGAAACAGAATGTAAAGTAAGTGTATTTTATCACAAAGGGAGGAACTAATCCTAATGACAGTGTTCAGTTTGAAGTCTGCTTTCATACAGGCTAAAAAAAGTTACTGGTGTGAACGAATGGAAAGGTTAAGGAACCATCTGTCCTAACATAAAATTGTAAGTACAGTATTTGAAATTTAAGGGGTGCGAATGACAATATCATTCGCATGCAAAATTGCTGCTTCAAATTTTTCTAATATTAACTACTGACATTCAACATTGGTCTAGGCCTATTGACCATATCTCAGTGCATCCAATTGACAGACTTACATGAGAAAATTTCATAACATGACTAATAAAATCGATAATTACAGTGTCAAAATAAAACTTTACATAGCATGCCGATATTAGATGTACAGGTAAGGGCATATAACTATCAAAAATCAGAGAACTGGAAATCAGCAGAAAACTAATGCATGGGACCAACCTAAGCCTTTACAGATAATACTGAAGCAGAAAGAAATGTAGCACAGACTACTGATTCACATAAGCTTTCATAGATATAGTTAGATGAAATGCTGCCTCCACATCATCATACAAGTTACATACTCTCATTACCGGGGAAGTAAATGCGTGTGTTTTATCGAAAATACTGAGTCAGGCTCGTCAGGCTGGTGCATTAATTGTGAGGAGATGAAGGATTGTCTGTGAAAAATGTTCTTTGCTATGGTTTGACCATGTGGTCTCTGGTATAGTCTCTTTGACATTTAGATACATGCTGTGATTGGGTATTACATCGGATTACTTCCATTTTTGAAAATTTCTGCTGGAGGCGGGTAAGTTACGAATATGTTTTTATAAACCAATTGCTTATCTCGTTTGTGATATTCTCAGGGAATTATTTGATATTAATGAATGTGCATTTAGTTAATGGTGATATACGTATATGTTATCACACACAATTACTGATTGATGTTGGCTGCCCACACGAAGTTATGTGTCATGTAGTGTTAGACATTTCGTATCACGATTCGTGCGAGATATAACTGAATGTATTCCATCGTAAGTAAAACGGTATAGGATAGAACTTAGACCAGATATTTGGTGTGAATTTTAATCCATATTAACGGTAGTTTTTAAACTAATATTCAGGTAAAACTTTCTAACAAAACGAAATCAAAGAAACGGTAGACAATAGATCTGAACTCGTATGGCGTGAAGACCGTAATGTTAGCCATTTGATACGTTGTAGGAAATCATTTCCATGGTGTAATCCCCACCAAATTATTTTTTATACAAGAGTGTGCTCCGGTTGAAGTTGCAGAAGAAGATCTGTGGCTCCCTTCTAGTCTAATGTTACCTAACCAATCGTAAGTGGTGAAAAACAATTTGGAAGTCACAATGGTGAGGCCAGTGGAATGTTGTACAATTGTTGTAAACTGTATACCACACTTGAAACTGTTCTGTAATTACAAGATTAGTGCAGGGTATCAATTTGCGGCCTCCAAATTCCTGTCTGATGTACTATTCATAAAACATTTTAGCCTGGTCTCTTGGTATTAAGGAAATTTTATAGTTCGTAATTATGGGAGGTTTCCTTCATCAGTAATGTAAAGAAATGTTAACCCCAGCTTGGATGCAGTGTTTGTTAAACAATTCTGAATACAAAATTTCATATTAACTGTCATGTGAACCATTCTGTTCTTGTGGATTTTCATTTTCATCTGTAGTGAACTAGCATAGCTCAATAGCATGGTTAATCATAGGCTTACTATAGTGACTAGGTTGTAGTCTGGAGGACTGGGCTTTCAAAGTTTCAGTACAGTAAAAGACAGGGATTGTTCAGTTTCCTACTGCATACAGACCTGCTCTGAGGCTCACCCAGCCTGTATGAAATGGGTATTGAGGGCTCTGTCATTGGGTGCAAAGCTGACCACTCATTTTGATACATTTTTGAGGCCAATAATGCTTAAAGCTACACTTCAATTCCCCTGTAAAAGAATGGAATCAATTATGTCATGGCGCTTAGTTAAGCTTAAAGCAAACTTTTACCTTCCATAATGATACCAGTGCATGCAATGTCAAGGGCCACTGTTTTGCTCGACTTCCCTGTATGCCATATTGTTTCACAGAGTAATTATTTCTCCATTTACTTGGTCCTTGCAAAATGGCCCTCTTAAAGATCAATATTCTTTGCTTTTGCTCCTGACTTCTCCCTATCAAGGCAGTGGTTTGTTCAGTGTCCTGGTGCTGCCATTTCCTGTGTTTTTAACTTTTCTCTTACTATCTTCCTTTCCACAATTGGCTTCCACTTCTACCCTAAAGGTGGAGAGGCAAGAGGTTTCTCTGAAACATTGGTACATGTTACGTCACAGTGTCATCCCAGAAGACAGTAATCTTCATAGCCCGAATGTGTATGAAAATCATCAGTTGATTCATGGCCCAGAACAAGTCAGTCATGAAAATTGTTCATATACCCGAGAATTACTGTCACCATCACTGGAAGTAAATACTGTAGCAACATAAATGTTACAAAGTGTGCATCCATTTTTTAACATGTAGCATTTATTATGGATGATTAAAGTAATGCTAAGTAAAGAGTAATCACATTTTTTAATTTGGAGAATGGAGTATCTAACCCAAAATGGGTGTTAGATGTCTGGGTCTGGGACAGAAATTGAGTCTGAAAGTGCATCTAAATATGGTCTCAATAGATGAAGTTGTATGTCATACTCTATCTTATAGTGATATTAATGATAAAATAACAACTAAAGCAATTGAAAAAGTTATCTCTTCTTTGCATTCAAAAAATTCTTCTGGATATGATGAGATTTCGATGAAGACACTAGAAATTAGTGCCCCATACATTTCTTCCCCTTTGTGCTGTATATTCAATAAAGTAGTCTTAGATGGTAAATTCCCCTTTATAATTGACCCACTCAGTGAGGCTTCAAGCCCCACAAGTTGGTCGGCACTTATAACTGTCCTCTTAGTGCCCTTACGTTGGTCTCCACTTTCATCTGCCGCTTCCTTGTTGCTGCCTGGTTCAGGGTAGGGTGTGGGATTACTCTGAATTTGAATTTGTATGGGCGCCAGTGGACTTGGGTGAAATCCACGAATTTGGAACAGGGGAAACAAAGGGGGGGGGGATGTGGATGGGCGGGCATTTGGGATTTCGGCTGCTCAGACAGTAGGACAAGATTCTGTCTCAGGGCAACTTCTGGGTCTTGCTCACACAAGGAGATAGAGAACACTTAAAACACACACTTCACCAACACTGTTGCTCTTTATTGTAGATGTGAACTAGAATTACATATTACAAGGCTGTAGCAATTTTGAATTTGTGTACTGGACTCGGCCAACACCAATTTAAAGTCCGGAAGGTCCAAATGTCGCGAAGCTACTCCAATTTGTTACTCTCTTTAGACGACTGACCCCTGTTACTCCCTTTAGAAGACTGATTCCTCCGAAGAGGCAGAAGTCTTGATGGTTCTGGGAATGCCCGATTTCCTCTCCTCTGAAATTTTGCTGATTGGCTGAACGTAAAATTTGGGTGTTTCTCTCATTTACATTCAGCCAATCCCTAACAAGATCCATGTTAATTTGGGCCTAAGTACAAGACAGTCCTTCTGACAGCTCTCAAATAAATGAAGGTACACAAACGATCGCTTGGTACACCCCTCCAAAAATAATTGTGACTCGTATCTGTCAAGTCTCAAATTTTCAAAGACTCATACCGCCGAAGTTAAGCATTGAAATTCCCAGAAAATGCAGTGGGATACTTCCTGCTCCGTTCTGGGTTTTCAAGTGACCTGCAGCTCGCTTGTCCCTCAGAAACACCAGATGTCGTCCTTGGTGCCTGCTGGTGCTGGGGTCAGTAGTGTTTCATCTTTTGTTAATTGGTAATACAGTTCATTTACTTGTAGTACATTATAATTAAGAATGTAAATCAACAACATTGCTGAGGTTCCTGCACAGTGCCGTTACACCTTACATATGAAATACTCGATTGTAACTCCTATATACAAGAAAGGTGATAAGGAAAACTGCAAATTATAGACCAATTGCATTGTTAACTTCATTTTCCAAGGTGTTTGAAAAAATAATATTTAGAAGATTATTGACACATGTTCACGCTTATGACGTTCTAGCTGAACAATTTGGTTTTTGCTCCAAATTAACCACTGAAACAGCTTCATATAACTTAATAAATACAGTTTTAGCAGCTATTAACAATAAAGAAAAAGTAGGTGGAATGTTCTTTGATTTGGAGAAGGCTTTTTTCTGCGTAAATCACAAAGTACTTTTATATAAACTTGAATTTTGTGGTATAACTGACAACGTATATATGTTATTAAAATCATATCTCCAAAACCAATATCAAAGGGTGGTAATTAAAAATGGACCATTTTATAAGAGTGAATGAGATTAGGGTCGGGTCAAACGTGGTGTTCCCCAGGGATCTGTTCTGGGACCATTCCTTTTCCTACTATATATCAATGACCTACCTTTACAAAATATCTGAATGTCAGTGTAAACCCCCAAACAATTTTATTTGCGGATGATTCTATCATAATCATCAGTAATGAAAACAAAACTGTACTAGGAAATAACTTGAAGTCAGTCTTCAGTAGTGCGACGAAATGGTTTAAGGCAAATTTACTCTCATTAAATCTGGACAAAACCTATTGTATGGGATTCCACTCTAAAGATATTATTAATTCCAAAATACAAATGAAATATAACAATTTTATTGCCAATTCTGCTGAATTAAAGTTTCTTGGGCTTGTACTTCACAATACTCTGTCTTGGAAGAGTCACACCAATATGTTGGCTTCCAAATTAAACAAAGCGTGTTATATTGCAAGGACAATCAGACCTTTCATATCTTTAAATTCCCTAAAGGTAATCTATCATGCTTATTTTCATTCAGTTATAACATACAGGTTAATTTTCTGGGGAACTTCTTCCCACAGCACAAATATTTTCAAACTCCGAAAGCGAATGGTTAGAATAATGGAAGCAAGACCCAGGGATTCTTGCAGAAATTTTTTTTTAATTTTAAATATATTACCGTTAGCATCTCAGTACATACTCTCCTTGGCTCTGCGTATGGTTACCAATAAATCATTGTTTAGACAAAATTCTGAAATTCATAATTTTAATACCAGGAATAATTTAATTCTTTTCAAGTAACGACTCACTTGACAATGTTTCATAAAAGTCCTGCCTATGCGTGCATTAAGATATACTGTATAACCATCTTCCAGCTGTCATTAAGGACTTGGCATGTGATATTAAAAGCTCTAAAAAAAACATTAAAAAGTATTTGCATGAGCATTCTTTTTATATTGTGGGTGAATTTTTTATGCATAAAACTAGATGAGTATTTTTGATTGTAATAGTAAAATCATTGTGTCAGTATTTACAGTGTTCTATTCTGTGAATTTTTTATGCATAAAACTAGACATATTTCTGATGGCAGTGGCAACATCATTGTATCAGTATTTACAGTGTTTTATTATTTTTATATTTTCGACAAAATCTTTTAATGATTGCATGTCTTATTTATTTATCGTTATTTATTAATATTGTACTGTCTTTTATTTTTTACTTTTCTATATCCATTGTACCAGTATGGATCCACAGAATAAATTTAAAAATTGAAAGAAATGTAATCCATTAGCAGTTGGTGTGAAAATTTGGTGCAATATAACGCAGTTATTTTAAGAAAGTGGTAGGCCTATTTTCATGGTGATTGCTGAAATTATATATTTCATTATAATGCGTTCGTTTCATATTCGGCATAAAGTGTTACAAGTAAATCGTAGAAACAGAGTTTTAGGGCACTATTAATATTAACATCTATAATGTGGGAACCTGGTAAATGACATTTTTCCCCGGCTTTGAAGATCCATAACTTCCCAGAAATTTGTCATCTCGAAATTATTTTAAATGGCATCTACCGACCGAAATCAGTACAGGTGTACGCACGCAAGTGCAGTGGCAGGCCCGTGTGACGTAGCACGCTTCCAACCAATAGTATTGAGAAGCTCATCTGCAGTTCTGATCGTTCTGATGTAGATCGCTACATGATTCCATTTCAAAATAGCTATTCTGATCATTGTGACGGCGAGGAATTCTTCGTAAGTTAAGTGGCATTTCTTGACGATTTATCATCAGTTTAAGTGTAATTTTTATGTATATTATTGGCATGGATTGAACCTTTTACAGTTATCGTAGGTATTTGCTTTTAGTTGTCGCAATTTCTGTACCTTCGACTATGTTAAGAAGCCACGTGGTGAATCGTGTGTAGAGACAGTAATTCCAGATTTTAGTTTTCACCCTCAGCGTCCAGCGGGGGGGGGGCGATTGACCAAGCATCTGCCTACCCGCATGTTTTTTTTTTAAATAATGGTTTTAATAAAATATGCAGGCATTAATGAACTTAATGATGTTTAAAAATCACCGTGTCCGGAATAATCCATGGCAGTAACCGGCATGACTGTCCCACCCCAGCTGCTTGCCACGCCCATGTAGGCATGTTATTCACTATTAAATTAAGCCCGGTATTCTGGGACTTGATACCTTATAGTGTGTTTGGTGAAACATGCTACTTTTTTTCACGATGGCTGTAAGGTTTCAGTTACTAAGAGCTTGAAAATATCGCTACCCTGGACAGGTAGCGATATTTGTGCACTTTATCACGCCGTGACAACATTGATCAAGCATACAAATGTTGCTGATCAGAACCTGGCAATAGATGCCGTTTTTGCATTTTTAATCTCATCACTTTAAGTTGTGAAAGGTTTTTCAGGTGTCATACACATGTTGCATAGGGTTCATGTGGCATCAGTGGACTACTTGTATCAGGAAACATTTCCTTTGTCCTGTTTCAAATCTGCCAGTTATTTCAGTCCCATTGATGGTGACGGTATTTTCTTTATACTTCCTTTTGCTGTTGAAGACCATGAGGATGAAAATTTACAAAATGGTACCTGTAGTTTTGTAAGTGTATAATGCTCACATCAGGGAGCAGACATAGGTTGTGGGTGTTTGTGACTAGTGTGCTGAAGAGAATATTTGAACCTCAGACAGGAAGTAACATGGAAGAAACTAGAGGTGATCTTCATACCATACTCTTTGCTCAGTGCCAAATACATTTGTACCTTGGACTTGCAACACAATGTAATCCCAGGAGTGGGTCATATACCAGGTTGATTTATAACATGGGGTGTGTAGTTAATATTCATGGAACTCAAAGCAGACACAAAATATGTGATAAATAGCCGATTCATCATGTACAAATCAACACTCATGTCTCCCAGTAATTGTCTACATGTGGAGTTAACCTCGAGAAAAGCATGTTTGATAATGTGTTGTGTGTAGTTGATAATGGTCATATCTGAGAATTGGTTCAGTCAGTTTCATAACCCTCATTAGAAATGCTTTTTGAATTACTTTCAGTTCCTTGCTTAAGCATTATATTGTAGGTGAAGAGAATTCGCAGTAAGTTTCAGCATCCCTCAGTAAGGCCAGGCGCATGTTGAGGTGCAGGTGAAGCAAGGCAGCGCAGCGCAGCTTTCTGCGATCCTATAAGATATGAATTCAACTGCGCAAGTTGATGCGCAGAGCAGGTTGAAGCAGGAACTGAGTCTTACTCCTCTGCTATACGCAGTGCTCAAGACGCAGATTCCTGCTCGCAGGTGTCCCGTGCAAGGAAGATGATTGAAGAACTACCAATCGAAGCTGTGCGCCGAAGGAAGATTTTGTATGATACAAGCGATCCAGATTGTATGAAGACTAAATTGAAGGTGGAGAAGTGGAATGTCATCGCAAAGGAAATTAATTTAAACAATGGTAAATATGTTTTCAACTCATATATTTCCTAAATTATATACATTGCTAATTCTTTTCTTGGCCAGTGTGTCGTCCATATGTTCAAAATTTTGATGGATATAATGAAATATTTACATACTGTGTTTTTCACACTGTGCTCTTTCCCTGCGCTGCCTGCGCCCGGCCTAATCAGCGGCTGTATTTAGAATTTTCATTCATTTGCAGCTTAGGACAATTTGGCATGGAGTGATTCATCAGCACAGTGGTTCAGAAGCAGTCTCTGAATGATGCAGGCATGGCTACAAGATGGTTATTTCAGGTACATAATTCGGTGTTCTGAATTTTAACCCTTTCACTGCCAAGTAATTAGTGCCCAGTCATGCCCCCTGTGCTAACTTACATTTGCAGTTTTTTGTAAACATGCAAATCGAGAGAATGTGAGTTAATACATATTAACTGTTACCAAATAATTTGAAGATAGTTTTGGAATGAGAGTATTTGGACTGAAGAGAGATGAAGTGACATGAGGTTGGAGAAAACATCACTTTGATGAACTGAATAATAAATTGTGCGTAAATGGAATTTTTTCATCACTTATGATCAGCAGTTTTTGGCTAGAATTATTCTGAAACTGCACAGAGATTACTTACCTATACAAGCTCCATTTTAACTGTGCAATGAGGTTTGCATGATAAACATATTAAGAAATTTTGATGAAAGCACAAATCATGGTCTTCCTGCTGCAAAGCAGTATGTGCAATTATTTCTTAAGGATGTAGTGGCCCTAAGAGGCCTCTGTGAATAGTCACCCATTATGCCTGATAATGGCCAAAATCCAAAATGATTTGCATTTATTCGTAGCTTGTAACACAGTTGTCAGACTAGGACTTAACCTTGTGTCTTATTCTACAAAATAGTGTTTCTTACGTTGCTGCCACATTATTTGATGTAACTGGCATGTTGGTGAATTTGAAAGTGTGCACGTGTGATTGCCTTCAGTGCCATGAATTTCATGAGGAATGGACGTAACTCAAGTCGGTTGGATGCCGTGGAGGCTTGAGCGCGTACTTGCCACCTTCCCGTTGTTTATCAGATACAGTACATGTTGTTTCTAGGTCAGTAGTGCAATGATTTACAGTTATGCTTCTCTCCTGAGCTAAGTACGTAACTCTGTTTACACAATCAGGTAGGATCTGGCGCTTCAGCTCTACCAAGATGTCCTCAGCAAATTTTCAAGGGTAAAGTTTAGAATATAAAATAACCTACAGCATAAGCCAGTTGACTCCAGATTCATGTCAAGGCAAAACGAAGATGACCATGAAAACCGTTGAGTGGGATAAGGTAAAGATGTCCTTGTGCTTATTTAAGCACTGTGCCATGAAGACACATTTCCACTAGATGGAGATGAGTGGTCAGCTTCACATCACAGCGGCTTTACACCCTGTCCTGTTCGTTTCATTGTCATATTTCCCCAGTTGATGATTCCATCTTGTGCAGAAACTGGTATCTTGTTTTGACCAGGTTATTCATTAGTTTTCCATTGCAGATGGAATTAATTGAAGGATGTGGTTTGTAGAAAGTATGTTACATTGCTATTAAAGGTGAAATTATCCCCATGCGTATTTTAAGCTTAATTAAGCCATGAAGACATGGGGGGAGCATAGCTATAGCTACAGCATCCTTGACCTTGGCATTAGATGGAGGTGAATGGTCAGCGTCATGCCCCAACCACTTTACCCCCAGGGAAATATAACCCCCTACTTATTGGGTGGGCCTTGGATCTGGTCTGGACAGTATGGAGAAGAGAAAATCTTGCCCCTATTGTGAATTGAACCCAGGCCATTAGCCCATAGCTTGTCGCTGTACTGACCAAGCTGTCCCAACTCCATTATTGAAACTGCAATTTTACAGGAGCACAGTTATGTGCTCTTTGAAGCCATATGGTGCAGTAGCCAAATCTCATTTATATGTGCTACTTTCATTCAGTCCATGATGAAGAACTTGACCCCAAATTGACATTTTTTTTTCAGACCAAGTTAATATCCAGATAACTACAATCTGTGTGCCAGAATCTGTTTAGAAGGTCTGAAAAATGTATCTAAGCTGATGGAGAATATTTTCAGGATCTCTCATAAGGTACGTATGTAAATGTAAGTGCACAAAGTTACTGCACTTCACTGTGACCACAGTTGACTGAGCAGGAAACGGGACAATTGACACAGCATTCTCACACAGCAAAAAGTTGACTCACCCTCCACATAACCTCCCTGTACAATCAAATGATTATGAACAAAGAATTGGGCACACTGTAGAAGTAAGGATAATGCAGATCAGAATATGAAAAATGCTATTCACAGTTGAGTACATACTTTAAAATGCATGCCATTTAGGGAGGCATGTGAATCACTTGTCTGTTCAAACAAAGCTTGACAGTTTCTTCAACTTTGCATTATTACATTCGAAGGAAGTACAGCTTTCGAGTCCTTTATCGATGAATAAATGTATTGTTTTTATAGTTTTTAACTAAAGGGCATACGGTTATGGTTTTTTTTCCGTCAGCACTACTTATATCGTTACATTTTTCAATTATTTGTGCTTTTTTAAGGGCTGCCACAGCCTTCACTAATCCAGATTATCGCTGAATCTGCATGATATCGCCAATTACTCTGGATTAGTGACAGGTTACTGCATTCGTATCTGACACTTCATACTATTACTTTGAGATTACTTGCCAGCCTCATCATGTAGTGTGTGTGAAAATGGAAATTGCTACATCATGTATAGTCTCCAGGGTTTGTATATTTTCTTATTCTTAATTGGTTGCACTTAAGATATTAATTGAAGGTAGCTGAAAATGTCTAGTTACAAAAGTCACATGAGATGATAACTGAAGATGTGGCATGAAACCATGATAGACAGTTGGTCAGATCCTTGACAGTTTTGTGACGCAGTTACAGGGGTTGGACAAATTAATGAAAACACTAAGAAATTGTGGAATAGAATTTGTTTGTGTTGGCTACATTGAAAGACCTTCAATATTATATTTAAGCATCCTGTTGCACTCCATACGATAAATGATATAATGATACAAATTCCGTCCCAAGTGCAAACAATATATTACGTGTCCTTGATCTTGTTCACCCACACTACATGTTTCGGCCTCAGATGGCCATCATCAGGTGTATAACACTCACGTTGCTGTCACACTGCACCCAGCCCAAAATTTAACGTTTAAAACACTTGTTATTATCAACATCTACTTCGTTGATATCTGTCTGGTTTGTAGATTATTTTACACACGTTAATTTTGACGTTCCTGTAGTAGCACTATAAAATCTTTAGTTCTAATTTTAAAATCTTTTAAAATGTTTCTCTAAATTTTAAATTTAAAATTGTTAGGGTTACTCGCCCTATGTCTAAAGTGCTGCAGCAGCTAGTTCTTGTTTCCACACTGTATAGGTGTTATCCTGTGTAGTCTTCCTGTGTGCGTGCCGCTGTTATTCTTTACTACGTGTGCTACTACAGGAACGTCAAAATTAACGTGTGTAAAATAATCTACAAACCAGACAGATATCAATGAAGTAGAAGTTGATAATAACAAGGAAAGTATTTTAAATGTTAAATTTTGGGCTGGGTGCAGTGTGACAGCAACGTGAGTGTTATACACCTGATGATGGCCGTCTGAGGCCGAAACATGTAGTGTAGAGGAGCAAGATCAAGGGCACATAATATATTGTTTGCACTTGGGACGGAATTTGTATCATTATATCATTTATCGAAAGACCTTCAGTTGGCAAAATTGAATGTTCTTCTGTTTGTTTACACTTTGTAGTGCTTGTGTAAGTGCATTAGTGATTGTGATGAGCAACAGTGTGTGTGAAAGAATCGAAGAATGGGAGAGTTATCCAATTTTGAAAAAGTACTCATTGTTGGTGCATGTTTAGCTGGAGCATCTGTCTCAAAAACTGACACATTATTAGGTGTATTGAGAGCGACAGTTTCTAAGGTTTTGTGGGCATAATACCACTCACGAGAAGACAGCAGCAAAGAGGAACAAACAGTGGGCAGAAATTGGCATTGACTGAAAAATCACTTGACTACTGCAGCATAGGTAACAGCAGAACTCAATATTTATCTTGAAGACCCTGTTTCCACAAAAAGTATCTGACATGAGCTTCAGAAATCCGTCTGCGGTAGGGCTGCAATTGCTAAACCTCTGATTATTGAAAATAATGATGAGATGCATAAACCTTGGTGTCACAACCATAAAACCTGGGCATCAGACAACTGGAAATGCACGTGTGATATGGTTTGATGTCATCCTTCACGCTGTTCCCTGTTTCAACAGTGAAACATGGGCGGGGGGATTCTGTGATGGTTTGTGCAATAGTATTTTGCAGTATTGGTCCCATTATCACCCTTCTTGGCTAAATTACTGCCAGGAAGTACGTGGACAGGTTGAATAATTAGATGCATTCCATGATCCAGATGTTATTTCTGAACAACAATGCAGTTTCCGGGACAACAGTGCCCCCATTCACACAGCTGGAACTGTGCGGTTCAGTCATAGTTTGAAGAGCATGAAGGTTAAGACATCATCCCTTGCCAGCACAGTCACCACATTTGAACATCACTGAACCACACTGTTCAGTTTGGAGACTAAAGTGAGGAACAGTTTCCCGTTTCCAACATCTGTAAAACAACTTGAAGATGTTCCTCAAGAAGAATGGTATAAAATTCTGCTAGATACTGATTGAAACTTGTACGAGTCCATTCCAAGAAGAATTTTTGTTGTACTGAAAGCAAAAGATGGTCCAACATCATATTAATGGAGAAATGTGTTTCCATTGTTTTGTCCAACCCATGTACATATCTGCTGCAAGATTACTGTTTATTGTATAGGATCCATGGTTTGGGTTTCAGACCTATTTTATTATGAACACCAAAGACTGATGTGATGGCAGACATCCTAGAAATTGTGAAATAAGTTTTATATTTTCACAAAAGCAGTTAGCCAGTCATTTAAATTTGAAACTTCAGTTCCATAACTTAGGAGAAGGCTGTTTAATTACTTTGTTGAGTAGGCCAGTCTGGGAAGGCTCAGAGATTGTGTGGACCAATGCCTATATGCCTGAACTTCAGTCACACAAGTTTGATGCTGAAAATGTGAAATTAGACTTAGAATCCGTTTATGATATTTGTTTATAAGTATGTAGGTAAGTCAATAAGTAAGTTACAAATGGATATAGAACTTAAACAAATAAGAGTACTGATTTGAAAAATGCTTTTATTTCTCAACATAATCTCCCTGTATGTTGAAGCACTTGTCCCATCGTTTCACAAGCCCCTGATAACCAGCAGCATAAAATTCTTTGGGCTGATGTCGGAACCAGATGTGTTCACATGGCATGGCCTACCTCATGATGCATGACAGGTTAGGTTCTCACAAAGTCTGTGCACGATGGGTGCCGCGTATGCCGACCCCACAACACAAAATGCAAAGAATGGGTCTGGCATTACAGCATCTCAATCGCTACCACAATGAAGGCCAAGATATGCTAGCCCGAATTGTCACAGGTGATGAGTCTTGGTTTCACCATTACCATCCCGAGACAAAGCATGCATCAATGCAGTGGAAACATCCTGCATTGCCGGCCAAAAAAAGTTTAAGGTGACACCATCCTCCAGGAAAGTGATGCTCACAGTCCTCTGGGATCACGAAGGCATACTGCTCACCACATTCCAGTCTCAAGGTGACGCAGGATGTTTCCACTGCATTGATGCACGCTTTGTCTCGGGCTGGT